CAATTTGCACTGAGGGAAACTGAGGAAAACTGGCTGCAGGAAAGGCTACGATGATTAATAAGGAATACTGGATTTGCCAGTTTCGTGGACTTAGCTTAGTCCAATCATTCTATGGATTACTAATTTTATATTCTTAAATCCACAATTTCGGAAGTACCAAAACCAAGAAGACTTTTCTTCGAGTGCATAAACTGGAGCTGGAGCCGGAGCTCTCTGCTCTTCGCACAGACTTGCCGCCGAGGGAGCATTTTAATTATTCAACATTGTTGACAAAGTTTCCACTGCCTGCGTGCGAGGGGGACGGCTGCTGAGCAATATGATTTGCTGCTTGAGCAGTCAAAAGTTGGCCCACAACAACGACAAAAGCGGCCGAAAACAAAAGCTGGTCTAAGGCAGCAGCAAAAGAGGAGAGCTGCTCATTTCGCCCAAACTGCCCGGGGCGATGAAAAGTCTTCGAATGGTCATCAAAAAAGTCCCAGGAAAAACCGAAATTCTATCGAGAATTTAAAATGAAAAAGAATCATGGAAATTATATTACATTTCTGGCTCTGTAATGGCCAAAATACAAATAGATTGACGATATTTCGAATAATCATCCCATTTTTGGGAAATATCATCAGCACGTCATCATTTTTTCGAAAAATGGCATAAATTTCGACAGAAAATGGTTATAGATTTTATAGGGTTTATACCTACAACTTGGTCGAAAGAAGGCTCAGAGCTAATGTAAAGACAGTTTTGAACAGCTAACGACCAAAACAAACTTTCCTTATCATTGGTTAAGGGATTTTGTGAGTTTGAATTTTTAACTAATTTTTGAATTTTCTATAAGGGGTAACATCATCAAAATTTGAGAAAACCGTAAAATTTTGACATTTTGAGGTGGGGACACAGTTCGATTGGAATTTTCACGAGTTCATCGATGTATGACATTCTACATTCCGACAATTATTGGCTTTGTTATAGGAAGAATTCTTCTTATTTTGGGGCCAAAATCAGGATTATGCGTTTCGCTAGAAAATTAGCATAGTATTGGTCGGATTTATACCTACAACTCAGTCAAAAGAAGGCTCAGAGCTGAAATAAAGACAGTTTTGAGCAGGTAACGACCAAAACAAACTTTCCTTATCATTGGTTTGTTGATTTTGGCAATTTTAATTTTTGACAATTTTTTGAATTTTCTGTAAGGGGTAACATCATCAAAATTTAAGAAAAACGGCTAAATTTTGACATTTTGAGGTGGGGATACAGTTTGATTGGATTTTTAATTACGAGTCCATCGATATATGACATTCCACATTCCGACAATTATTGGCTTTGTTATAGGAAGAATTCTTCTTATTTTGGGGCCAAAATCAGGATTATGCGTTTCGACAGAAATTGATCATAGATTTTATAGGGTTTATACCTACAACTTGGTCGAAAGAAGACTCAGAGCTATTATAAAGACAGTTTTGAGCAGCTAACGACCAAAACAAACTTTCCTCATCATTCGTTTAACGATTTTGTGAATTTGAATTTTTAACTAATTTTTGAATTTTCTATAAGGGGTAACATCATCAAAATTTAAGAAAAACGGCTAAATTTTGACATTTTGAGGTGGGGATACAGTTTGATTGGATTTTTAATTACGAGTCCATCGATATATGACATTCTACATTCCGACAATTATTGGCTTTGTAATGAGAAGAATTCGGTTTATTGTGGCACAAAAATGAGGGTTATAGGCGTTGACAGAAAGTAGAAAATATTTTTCATCGCTTTAATACCTACAACTCAGTCAAAACAAGGCTCAGAGCTAGAATAAAGTTTTTGGGAGAGAAATAAGGAGAAACCAAATCTATCACTTTTTATAAGAAGTAACGCCAGGACTGCTCATGACTGTGCTTCATTCCAGACCAATTACCATCTAGGCGACAATATGCTACATATTATGGCTATCGTTTATCGTTCATCGTTTCAGTTAAGGCGATAGACCAAATTGGTAGCGACTGCGATTTAATTTCTTTACAGTCTGAAAGGGGGCTTAAAACGAAAGAGAATAAAAATTGGTAAGGGCCTGGCTGGCCAAAAAGCCGGAACTGCAAGACTCACAACTCCAGCTCGGCATTGGCGAAACATTTTCGGTCGACGCGCTTCAATAATTCTGTTTGCCCACATGGCAAGGGGGAAGCGAAAGAGACAGCAAGTGTGTGGGTGGCTGTGGTGGTCATGTGGGTGGAGAAAAAGGTGGGCGCAGAACCGCACACAGAGTGCAGGCGAAGCAAACATGTTTCGAGTGGCTTTTGCGGCATTGACGCGAAGATAAAAAATCGCCAAACTGAATGCACCGGCACTGGCACCAGGCAGAGGCAACAAAGCCGCTGCAGTGGCACAAAGCCACAAAAAATACAAAATGAGTGCCTGGAAACGTAGTTAAGACCATGTGATACCCAGCAATAGGAGTTGCTATGAAGTTGACACGTAAACTATAATATTTTAAAGCTGATATGATGAGATTTCATCAATCAGAATAGCAGACTCTAACTAAAGGCTAGGCCAGTTTCGGTAATATGCAAATTTCGAGCACAGTGCACTCGCTTTTCGCATAAAAGCCGAAACCATTCATGGGCCATGTGAAAAATTACAATGCAATTGTTTGCCATTGGCATGCCCCATGCCCATGCTTCCGTGCCCCGTCCCCCAACCACACCTATGTTCCACCCACACAAAGAGGCCAAAAGTCAAACCAAAGCCAAGCAAATGTGGCAACGAAACGAAATGGAATCGAATGGAACGCCGCCCGGAAGTGGAAGTGGAAAGTGCGGGAAAGCGGCAAAAGAAGACCAAAAGGGCAAAAGAGCCGCAGAGCTCTCACAGACTGCCTGGCGTCGTCGTCGTCGTCATCGTCATTTTCAAGTGGCGCGGCCATTATCGATTAAAAAGTTCAGCAGTGATGCATGTGGCAGGAGGTCAGGTGGAGTGTACGCATACACAGAACGAAAACAGATCGATATCAACTTCAAATTCGCCAGGCAGATAGCTATATACAGTGTCTTTATAGTTCTGAAGAGGTTTACAGAACGGAAGATGGCTGAAAGAGGTAACTACTCCTTTTTAATACCATACTTTGAGCAGGCAAAGGCCACTTTCTTACGGTGTAGATGGGTCAGTGGCTCAGCCCCTTCAGTGCACTTTTTCTGATTAACTGTTGCATAATTTTCGGGGCTGCGGTTTCCTTTGTGAAGGCCGGCCTGCTAATTGAATTTGCATGACAAATCAGGGGCACTCACTGGAATGAATAACGAATTGTGAATGCGAATATGAATTGCGGAAGGTGAGAAGTTGAGAGGGTGAGGTGCGGAGCTTATGGAGCTGTGATGGAGGCCTGAAAATTACTTAAAAACGTGTCCGACCCAAAAAAGAAAGGGGAAAAACGCGATGGCATCGCACAATAGACTTGCATATTTAAGCACAACACTTATATGTTCCCAGCTCCCTCTCCTGCCACAGCTCCACAGCTCCACACCTCCAGCTCCTTCTTCTTTTTGACAGCATTTCGGCAGCAAGTCAAACAATGAGGCTTTTGTATGCCACAACGCGTTCGCCTTTTTATTCCTGTTATTTCTGCTGCCCTCACGCACACGTATGTGCCACATACGTATTGTTCCATTGTTTGTATTGAACCCAAGGAGCGGAGGGGGAGGGGGAGGATGCGGAGCAGAGAAAGCACGGAGAAAAGCCGCGCCGAGCAGGGAAAGGCAAGCGAACTCTCGACTGGGGCGCCTTCATTTGCGCTTCAAATCTAAGAATAATAGCCGCGTTGATTACATTCACGCCGCTTTATGACAAGCGAGAAAAAATGAAGGAAAATACATGTGTGACGGCGAACAAAAACAATGAAGGTGGCAGGGAGGGGGAGGGTGGGGCAGCACTGTGTGGCAGTTGCTGGGAAATAATGATACTACCCAGTAACCGATATCGACATTAGATATATTATTTCTATGTTAAGTTAAAAGTTCAATATCAGTTCGTTAAATCAACTCGTCCTAACATTATCGATAAATATGTACTAATATATATCGATATGTTTAGCTTCAGTACCAAAACATTCCACTCATTTCTCTCTCATTTCTTAGTAGTTTGAATGTGAAATTACAAAATACAAAAACCTAAATGAGTAAAATTTATCGTACTATCGATAGCTACTCGTTGGCCCCACTGTGCGCCTTCCTTCGGTTGGGCTCAAATGAAAAGAAATGAAATTAAGTGGCATGTTGTTGCTTGTTCGCCTGAGCGTGGGAGGATGTGGGAATGTGGCCACGCATGACCAACTTGCAATCACCCCCACCAAAGGCTCCACCATCCGCAGACAGACGTCGCACAGTGGTGCAGCATCCAGTTTGCTCTCAGAAAGACTGAATAACAATTAATATGTCTCATATAAAATCGATTTTTCTTCAATCTTCATTCAGTCTAATGTAGATTGTTTGTAAAATCTTCACCCTTACTACCTCTAAGACGTGGAAAAACGACACCTTGCCTCACTGTGCCTCGTATTCCTGCCACTTGAGCTCTACACTGTAATCCTGTTAAACATTTCGAGTGTTAATTGTATGCGAACAACAATAACAGAGGGCATGCATGGGTGGGAGTGTGAAAATCGTTGCGGGAAATGAGATTGGAGGCTGAAGACGACTGACAGGCCGTCGAGATTGCAGCCAGGCATGCTTGAGGTTGTATCTGCGATATTAACTAGTGTTTTTCCTACAGAACGGAGTACGTGGTTCAAGGGGATAGAGCAGATTATCTTACATCGATTACCCTTGATATCATCAAGAACTCATATCTCTTTAAGGCTTCTATATGCTTCTATGCTAACTATATAACTTGGAATGTGGCTTTCCTCCTAAACTTTCTAGCCTTTCAACTTTTGTGTAACCGCATCGAAAGCGAATCTTCACGGCCTTTACAGCCATGTCCGATCGCATCCGCTCAGCTTTTCGGCCAGTTCTTATACGATGGCAAACGTAGTGGAGGCGCTGCAGCTAATCCTCCTTGCCAACGCTATCATACGGGGCAGCCTCCTTCATCAGGGAACGATAGTGCAGCAGAAGAACTTCGGCTACGTACTGCAGATCTACAATCCAAAGTTCATCGCAGCAGGATCACTGTTCAGTGCTCGGTACATTTTAACGGTGGCCCACTGTTTCCAGAAGTCCACCAAACCAGAGCAGCTGACAGTGCGAGCCGGCCACGACCGAATAGCCGGGCAGTTCTGGGGCAGACCGGTGGCAGCATTTATGCGCCATCCAAAGTTCTCACCCGAAACTATGCGGAACGATATTGCCATTCTGCGAGTCAAAGTGGCCATTGGATACTCGCGCTACGTCAACTTTGTAGCCCTGTGCTCGGCGCCCTTGAAGGGTGGCCAGGACGCACGGCATGCGGTCGTAGGCTGGAGCCTGATCAATATCACCCAGCCGCTGAAATCCATTGATGTCAGGCTGGATGTAGGGAAAACTTGCCAACAATTTCCCCAGTTGCCAGGCGGCGTGGTCTGCGCTTCTACTACGGATGGAGAAGGCCTGTGCTATGGCGACTCCGGGGATCCCCTGATCAGTGGCGGTGAAGTCTGTGGCCTGGCAATAGCCTTTCGGCGATGCGGAGACAAGCGGTACCCAGCCCTCTTCACGGATGTCTACTACCATCGCCCCTTCATCTCCCAAGCCGTACTCACAATGGACAGGGAAATGCTGAAGAAGCAAAAGGGTTGAGTTGGGGGAACCCTCTGAACGCCAAACGGATCACGCAGAACATACCAGATTGAGGATGAATAAATTTTCTTTGTGATTAAAACACGGCTGGAGGACTCACCTGCAAGGAAACAGACAAAGGAAAATTCAATTAGTATCGAAAGAAAGAAAAAGAGGAAACCGACAACAGAACATGGCGCAACAGAAATTTCGTTTGTAATTTATAAAGTATTGTAAGAAAAATATAGAATACTGTATCCGAATATAGCTTTTACTCAGTGTAAGTGAATAGGGTTTCCCTTTATACCTTCCCCTCCCTTCCCACTCCCAAAGGCAAATCAATTTGCGCTTTACGTAAGAAAGCAACAAAAGGACCAAGGTTCGTTGGTTGGTTTTTTAAGAAATTGGAATTGGAAATGGAAAAGGAAGGCTGCTTGGTTGGCAGCACGAAAATCACGGCACATAACCCATTAACCCGCCGTTGCCCAACTATGCATGTGAAATGAACGGGGACGTCGTCGTCGTCGTCGTCGTCGCTGACGATTTCCATACAATTTTTCCGTGCTGCTTTTCCTTGTACGCCTGCCCTGCTCAGAAACAACATTTAATGAATTCATATGTTTAATAAAATCCACACGTGAACATGAATATACAACGTGGCAGCGAAGAAGAGCGACACAAGAAGAGTCGCACAAAAGGACAACCTGACTCCTGAGCTGCGCACAAAAGTATGCAACACAAATAGGACGTGGGCGGCTGGCGAAATGGGGAAGGCATCAAGGCATCGCATCGGATGGAAAAGCAGTCTCTTTTTGAATAGTTTGACGATGACAATGACGATGGCGATGACGACATGTCGACGTCATGTCGCTTAGCCTCTCCTCTGGCGAACCCAAAGAGCGCTGAGAGACTTAGCTCCTTGGCCAAATTAAAATCAAATTAAATTTGCATATTGCGCCAAAGTGTCGGCACAAAGTGCCGCTGTCTCTGTGTGTGTGTATGTGTGTGTGTGCGAAACACTGTTATCGGTTATCGGGTTAGCGACAGGTGTTGCATAATGGACTACGACAGGCAAAGAGGAGCTTATGGAAATACCCATTTCAAATTCACAACTGCGATTGGGGAAGCAGAACCTGGAAAGAGGGAAGATATATATACAAGTGTCAAGTTTAAAGAGATCATCTAAGGCAGATGTTGTGATATATTGGACCGAGAAGCTCACTTGGCCTAAACTATTCTGATTCCAAGGAGTACAGACAAACGATAACCAAACGCTTTATAATCGAGCTAAATAAACGTGAAACCATAAAGTGAGGGAGGAGAGTTTTGGGATTGTTTCAGAAAGGGTTGTCTGGACAATCGCCTTTCGATTATTTATGCCAATCATCGATAGATTATTCATCGCCCCCCAGCACGTACTGTACCAGCCAAGTCACAAAAATAACTAGGACAACAAATCAACTGTATTGCGACCACCTCTCGCTCTCCCCCCCTCCACACCCACAAAAGTTTTCAACAAATTCTCGACCACAAAACTGTCCAAAAAAATAAAAGCACTCTTGCAGTGACCCAATCTCTAAAAATAAACAGAGAGAGAGAGGCAGAAGAAAAGTCATGCTAACGACTGATGGAGGTGCGGCGGCAATCGGAGGAAACTGGCGTAGGAGGACCGAAAGTCGGTCAAGTTGTTGTCAGAGAAACGGAAGCGAAGACCGAGAGAGGTCATCCAATTGGCAATTGTGATAAATTGTACTTTTAAGCAATTTAAACCCGAGAAAACACAGGCGGACAGACGGACAGGCAGAGGCAGGATCGCGTCAGTCCCTTGTCAAAATCATGGGAAATGGGCTAAAAAGGTTTGACTTCTGGCCAAGAATTCCATTCCGCATTTTCCCATTTCCCTCTGCGTCTGCTATGTAAAACTTCTTCACTAATAATGCCTCAATTGTGCTCCATTCCTGGGAGTTGGGGGGTGAAAAAGGGTTGTCCACTCTCCCACACACCCCACTCCCCACCCAAATAGAAAAAACAAACATACACAAACATGTAACACATTACCCTAGTTAGGGGTATCTTCCTCCTCGACTTGGGTTTTTTTTACTACTTCTACTGCTTTCGGTTTTCCCGCTAGTGTTCTTTCTTCTTTGGTATCTGGAGTATTAATCCTAATTGAAGGGAAATCCCCTGATGGACACGCACTGTTTTTTTCTGGGGGAGGGACAGGGCAAGAGGTGCAACCCTTTTTTCTGTTTTTGTTTCGAGTTAGTCGCTTCTTGGCTATTTTATGGCGCTTGTTTTCCTTTTTTGTCTAGTTTGGCTTTCATTTTCGATGCTAACGGGGGTGGGGGGATAAAGGACTTGGCTCGAGGGCAAGGGCATGCATGTGTGGGAAACCAGGCAGCGTGTATGAATAAATGAATTCCAGCCGACCTAAGTCCTCTTCTCAAAAACTCTCTCTACATCCCCCCTGGCTGGCCATGGTATATCTCCTCAATCAAAAATCGTTGCATACTTCCAGGCCCTGGCCCGTATATTTTAATTACACAGCCACAAAAGCATATCCTGCAAAAAAGGCAAGAAAAACTGGCTAAAAGCGTAAGACACAGTTGGTCAAAAGGGAGAAGAACGTAATAAAAAGTGCTCAAATAGACATTTAATGATTCCCCATTGTCATTACATAAAGGTGACTTATAAAAGCATTATTTCACAGGCCCACAAAGTACTATGGGGCCAGCAGGAAACTTTGCGGACAAAAGCAGACGGAGTTTAATAAGGTAAAGTTTAAGTCATAGAAGATTCCATACTTTATCTGGTAAGAAATAATACATTTTTGGCCAAGAAAAGCGAAAGTTAGTCCCATTGTGCGAAGGAGAGTGGAAAATTGGGGGAAAACTGAGGGAAAAGCATGCGGGCCGAGCTTATTTGTTACCACGCAGGCATTTCACGTTGGCTAACGACCACTTGGGGCATACTACGCTCCGCTTTCCCTTTGCCACTTCCACCGACTCCCTTATCTCACTAAAGCAGAGGTAACTTCCGCCCACATTGGGCTTTCATTCAATCTTAAAACATATTTCTATGTCGCTTTAGCAGAACATCGGCTCTTAGCTTAGCAAATCGATTTCAAGAATGAGTTTCATTCCATTTGAATTTACTAAGACTTGTTTTAGGCTCTACTAACTCAAGGCTCCTCCGTATTCAATACAATTTTCAGCATTAAGAAACCTACTTTTGTAATTGCACTAAACTTGCTGTCAAGAAAACTCAATTTTGCCAACTCTGCGTTGCCGTTGCCTCTCGAAAAGCAATTCAATCACTCGAGTGTTTGAAATTATCGGTTTGGTTTGGCTCTCGGCAGACCTGAAATCACATTGTCCTCTACTGCCGGTTGTCCTGTTTCCCAGCCATAAATGTGCTCTCAAAAATCCTCCGTCCTGATTCACTTGAAAGTTTTCGAACCGAGGAAGTTTGCTCCGACGACCACAAGAGGAGTTTTGTGTTTGCCCTTCTGACTGCGACCAATTCGATTAAAGTTCTGCTCTCGCCTATTGAAAGTTAACTTTGACATTGTGTTTGTCGATTGCATTGCCTTCCCCCTGGCACCGTCTTTGCTTCCCTTTCTCTTTTGGGGCACATTTTGTGGGCTTGTGGGCCCGTCCCTTGTTTATTACCCAACTTCATTGAGGCAGACTTAATGCATTTGAACTTTGATTATCGCCAACTAGTATTTTCGATCCCCTGGCTAACTATCCTTAAAGTGCCCCTCTCCCTTGCCAACTCATTTTTCAAACCGAAAAGCGCCTCCCCTTCAGGGCAAAGGGAAGCGCGGTAGCTGGCCGCCCTCTTTGTGGCTGGTTAGGTAAACAATGAAATGTCCGCATATTTGGCACCATTACTCAAATTGCCATTATGCACGCGCTTCGCCTTCGACTGAGAATTGTGCCAGCCAGTAATCGAGCGTGCCGCTCTCCGATTTTCCACCGTTATGGCGGCCACAAATGAAATGCAGTGCAGTTTTCCTCTGGTTTTCAAACGGCAATGCGACAATCGCAGGTGAGCGCTGGAAGAGAAGGGAGAGGAAAGTGGGAAGAGGGAAGAGGGAACAGGGAAAGGGGGATGGAGGTAACCGCAACCGCATCGAGCGCTGCATTTTTCCGCTTTTCCCCTTTGGCACGTGTGCCGAGTTCATTATCGCCTCTACAAATATATACACTACACTACACACACACACACACACACATACACCACACACACACACTATATAGAACAGGGTTGCCCACTCACATTTGCATTGGCATTTTCTATTGCCATTTTCTTTCTCGGTTTTGGGGGCACATTACAATTTAAATTGTTCGCATGCGGCCGGCAAAAGTTGTCGCATATTATTTATGGGGACAGCCCCTGCCCCCCATTTCCCTGCATTCTGTGTGGGGCACTCGGTCCTCCTGCTCGTCCTCCTCTCGTCGGCTTAAAAATGTTAAACAAGCAAAAAGCTTTGCATACATTTCTGGGCCCGCTGGAGAGGCCCAGGATAGAGGGTACACAGGATCCGAAAAGGAGGACCGGCCTGGCCGCACGCTGTGTTTGCGGACTAGGCTGAAGATTTATGGTTTTGCGACAGACGGAGACGGAGATGGAGACGGACAAACGAAAGGGAAGGACGGCAGACAGCCGGACGGACAGCCCAAAACAGACAAGGGCAAACAGAAAGCCAAGGAAAAGAAGACAGACAGCCGGGGAAAAACAGGCTAAGGAAGTTAAAAAGAGGGCGGGAAACCCTTGAAGAACTGGCCGGAACAATGAAACTTCAACAAAACCACAAAGTTTAGCGACGGGGGAAACTTGGAGCCTAAAGACTCTCAACCCCGCAGAAGCGAAGCGTTGATTTCCCTCCCCGACTCTGGAAGGAGTTCACAGTCCGAGCCTATTTGCCATCTCGCAGAAACTAAAACAACTTTATAATAACTTTAAAGGCCTCGAGACTGATCGTTTTTCCCTTAAATTGTATCTAATCTTTCTCCATTCGAAGGAGGAGAAGGACTTCCCAAGCACAGCTCACCTTTTTCAACATGTCGTCCAGTGAATCCACGTCCAATCCCGCGTAGTTATTGTTAAACTGACTGGAGCAGTTCGAAGAGTTGCTGGTGTACCGCTTGCGTCTGCCCAGAGCGGGTGAGTT